ATGCAATGTTCGAAAAGGGAACAATGATATAAAAGATCACCGTGTTTTAAAAAGCTTGAAAATGATTGAAATAAAGTATAACACATAGTATATTCGTAGGGGTATGTTGTGTACCGTTTTCTTCATGTTGTCTTATGAAGCATGGAGGATAGACTTTCCTATTCCCAGCCACTCAAGGCAAGGATCTTGGGTCGAAGCTGTAGCAGGAGTGACCCGCCGTTGCGAGTCCAAAGGCGGACCACTACATATGTGTGACAATGTATATATATAATATATATGCGTACACATATTCACACACCGGTGTGTGTGTATGCGCGCGTGCATGCTTGCCTATGTGTGTGTGTGTGTGTTTGTGTATGTGTGAGTGTGTTTGTCTGTATGTACGCATGTATATGTAAGCTATAGTAAGTCCAATTTCAGGATAGGAAAAACTGTCAGCTCGCATTATCTAACTAAATCACTGAAAAGAAGAAAAACAAGGAAAAGAAAAAAAGGCGCGATTTGCCATTATATCGGGAGATCCCGATATAATGGCATTAGAAGGATTAACGCAATATAACCCGTTTGCATACCAGGAAGCACAAACTTCCTGCTGGTAAGGACATGATGCATTCTGCTTGGAACTGTGATAATGTCATGGAGGAGTTAAGCTTTACATTATGAAATTTATTGGTTTGTTATATGCCTGTTACTCTTTACCCTACTTTACCTTACTTTACTCCTCACCCTACTTATTGCTTACCAAGATTTTGTATTCAATGAGAGTAATTAAAATTTAGTAAACTACTATTAACAACGATTCATTTCAGCTATCCGAGAGTCTAGACGGTGGAGGTGATGTGTTGCATCGTCACAATATGGTAAAGAATAGATTCGGCCCAATATTTGTCGCGCGTGATTACAGGACAGAGCGCATGTCCACACAAACAACTGTCTCCGCTTTGGACAATGATCTTATGCCTTAATGCAGGAGAGTAGTTCCGAAAGATTATATGAGACAGATGTAAGTACCAGTAAAGTAATGTATATTTAGACTCTTACCATCAAACTTTTCAAAAATTTTGCCTACACACTCACCCTAAACCATTGCGCGTCCGATTCGCCGTCTCTTTATTCTATTTAGCTGAATAAACTAGTCATACTCATACATATTTGAAGTAAGAAAAAATATAAAAATGCATGTTTATTATTTTTTTTCTTTTTTTTATCCCTTTTCATTTTATTTCACTGTCTTTAATGCATTAAAAAAAAAAAAAAAACGTCTTAGCACTTCGGAGAACTCCAGGGCTCGAGCTCAGTTACCAGTTTTTCCTTTTTTGAATTTAGTCAAAGGTACGAACACGGTAGATTTGTTAAACTTTTTGATATGGGATCTTTGATGTCTTTGATATATGCCTTTACTGAGGATCAGAAGGAAACCTTTGAAATATTTGTGTGTGTGTGTGTGTGTGTGTGTGTGTGTGTGTGTGTGTGCGTGCGTGTGTGTGTGTGTGTGTGTGTGTGTGTGTGTGTGTGTGTGTGTGTGTGTGTGTGTGTGTGTGTGTGTGTGTGTGTGTGTGTGTGTGTGTGTGTGTGGTCTCGTGTGATCTCGTGTGATCTCGTCATTTGTTTTTACATTCTTAAAAAGCAGAGAAACGTTAAATGAAATGTCAATATTCTTACTGACCTTGAGCCTAATTTGATACACATCTAGCACACTTCAAAATCCCTCCCAAAATACTCAAGTTTTTAAATCATTCATATTAAACATCATTAGACAGAATTATAATCTATATCATGAACTGATTGAATCTACTGTGAATAAATGAAAAATAAAATGAACACTGCATAGTAACCAAATAGCATCTCGAGTTATGGAAGACAGATATGAGTCACCGTCCCTCTGCTATGTTCGTAGTGGCTCCTTGTACCGGGCCAGTGACAAGATTCTGTGTCATGTAGGAAGCATACTCAATGTACTACACTATTACATGTTTCTCTCTCTCTCTCTCTCTCTCTCTCTCTCTCTCTCTCTCTCTCTCTCTCTCTCTCTCTCTCTCTCTCTCTCTCTCTCTCTCTCTCTCTCTCTCTCTCTCTCTCTCTCTCTCTCTCTCTCTCTCTCTAGAGGCCGTAAGCTTTACTTTTGTCTCTTAGCATAAGGAATTCCATTCAGAGAATCTTGCATCTATAATTGTTCTAAAGTTACAAAGGAAAAGCTCCTGATATATTTACTGACTATTGGCAGAGGGCATTAAGGGAATAAGAATGTGACAACGGTAAATGTAATGCCAATATTCATAAACCCAAAAATCAATACCAGATCCTTATCTTACATCAAAGTTCACTATATTCTTAGGTTCTAGAATTACAAAGTTCCAACGGTATTTTTCTCATTCTATGATGTTTAAGTTTCTGTTGATTTTAAGCATAACAAAACAATAAGGTAATGAAACATTCAAATTTATTGTTTACATTTAATAACTATTTTACCAATTGATAAATAAGATATTGACGAAACATAAAAGAAGGAAGATCCAAATAACTTGTCTACATATTCCCTAAGAAAACAAATATAATTACAAACCACAATATCTAGTACATGATGGTCAACAAACTCAAGACTCAACTAGAAGCCAATGTCGCCGAGTTTTTGAGAATTTCTAGAAAATTACGTTGATAGTATTCCTAATGATATTTCCAGAAAGTTATTTTCTTTCCATTGATATTTCCTTCTATTAACCATCCCCCGTGTTATGCATCTTATTTTCGCCTCGTCTCGCACTGAACGTTCTCAGGATGGTCACATGACATTATTGCTTGGTTCCAGTGCAGACCCGAGGGGCACTCCGTCTTCTCAGGGACACCACCGTTGCCTGGGAAAACATGTGAAATCATTAAGTACATAGAAAAAGGCATTTCATCTGTATGAAAACATAAAATTAGTGTTCAGTATAAGGCAAAGAGGAGATGTACTTAAAGTTTGGTATCTTAGTTCCTGAAGATACAAAATGTTACTTACAAATGTAATATTCGCTGCAAATCTCAGAGGGATAGTGACATTCGCACTCGCACTGTGGAGGCTTTTCGATGACACATTCAGGGTACTGATGAGCGTAAACACATGTATCTAAATCCGGGTTGAATACAAGTGCTTCAGGGCATGTATGGAAGGTCTTGTTCTTGTTCACCTGAAAAATGGTTTAATATCTATGGAGTCAGTGCGGCTTAGAGACTATTCAAATAACATGTTTATGTTCATTAACATGAATTCTCACAATACAGAAACACACTCGAATATATCAGATGCCATCGGTATGAAATGGAAAATCTAAATCTAAAAAATTAACTTACATCACAGTAATAATAGGATGCGCAGTCCTCCGGATGAGGAATGTGGCAACATTCACATGTGCAAGCAGGATCAGGTTGGGAGGGGGGGCTGGTTGGCTCTGGGTCAGGTTGGATGACGCAGTCACCACTGTCACTTGAGGAGCATCCTGCACGCGATGGCCAGTCACATACCTTTCCAAACCGCAGAAAATGAGACAACATTAATGGAAAGTCAATATGATGGAAAAGGACATGTGCTTATTATTCTTATGCTGTCATAAAATATTGTATCAAAATATATGTTCTAAATGATGTCATACCCCCAAACTTTAGATTACCTTAAGTGTTGGATTAAAGTGCAGATTGGCAGGGCAGTCCTTCACGTACGGTGTGAAGTGGTCACAGTGAACCCATTTGGTGCAGTCTTTCGGATGTGGGAAAAGACCACTATAGGAAGGACATTTGATGCAATCGTCAGCTGGTGGGGTAGCTGGATTATCCCCACACTCTCCTCGACAGGTCTTGGGACACATTTTAGCGACTTCATTCTGCCAATAACAATCGGTATTCGGCTTACAGGTGCAGTCCCCATTGGCAGCCCAATGCTTGCAGTCTGGGTTTTCGCCACTACAGCTATCTGGGCTTGAGGTTGGTGGAGGAGGGCAACCAGTACAACCCGAACAGCTTCCGTCATCCAAAAGGTAGTTCCCTGTCACGCACGGGGTGTTCCATTCATGATTACAAGTAAGGATCTTCTGGTCCCACCTTGTTCCTGCAGGGCATGGCATTTCTTGGGGACCATAAGGGGCACACTGAATGAACTTTTGGCAGTCGGTAGGATGCTGCCAGTATTGCTGGCCAGTGGAGCAATCTACACAGGGGAAGTTGCCTGGTGTGACAGGTTTGTGTGTTGGAGGGTTGGTTGGGGGCTTTGCTGGAGGAGTGCATCCTGAGCATCCTGAACAGCTTCCGTTAGTGAGAAGGAAGTTGCCTGTCAAGCACTCAGTGGCCCATGCATGGTTGCAGGTGAGCAGGTTTTGGTCCCAAACTGTTCCTTCTCCGCATGGCATCTCCTGAGGACCGTACGATGTGCACTGGATGAACTTGCGGCAGTCGCTGGGATGCTGCCAGTACTGTTGGCCGGTAGAGCAGTCCACGCAAGGGTAGTCAATTACAGGAGGCTTCGTGACGTCCACATTGTCTTGGCATCCACAGCTGCGGGGACAGGCACGGGCGACGAAGTGCTGCCAAGAGCAGTCACCATCCGTCCACTTGCAGTGACAATCGTTGTTGGCGGCCCAGAACTTACAGTCAGGCTGTTGACAAGGTATTTGGATAAGTGTCATGGCTATGGTAACTATGGTGGGAAACTGATGGCTCCAATTAGATTATTAATGACAATCATATGAGAGAGAGAGGGGAAGAACTAACATCGGAATCAAAGACGTTTGTATCGCAAGTTCCAGTTGTTGGAGGATCAACCGGGCAGTCCACATTTGAAGCGACGTCGCACATGCGGGTATCGGGGTTGAACAGCAGTCCTTCTGAGCAGTACCTCTTCTCCGCCTCGTCGTCCTTGCCTGAATGTTAGATGAAATAGATATCTTTAGATGTATTCATTAAAGACAACAGTATACATCGGCAAATAATATGAATCTATTGAACTTGAACATTATCGGTGTTTGAGGTTG